TTCTTGCGCTTCCGCCATTGCCGAGACAAAACATCCCACTGACTTGGTGTGGCAAGAACGAGATCGGCTCGTTCCAGAAGTCTGAGATCAGCGGTGGTTTCGCCAGTAAGCTTGACGATGTTCTTGCCGCCGGAAAGCTGGCTCAGTCGCTTCTGCCAGTCCGCCAGACGCTGGTCAACGAGCTCTTGGAATGGAGCAAGGTACACAGCACGGCCGCTATCCTGCTGGGACAGGTGACGCAACAAGGCAAGCTCGGCACACACAGTCTTTCCGCTACCCGTGGGAGCACCAATAAACACGTTATCATCTGTGTCGAAGAGAGACTTGAAAGTCTGGGTCTGGATCTTGTTGAAAAACTGCCAGTCGGGATACAGCTGCTGGAAATCTTCGCGCTTCAATGCCTTCACTGGTGCTCTTTGCATGTCCAAGAGAGGAGTGTGGGGCGGGAAACGTTCAGGAAGGATCAATTTTTGGAAGGAGACGGCAATCTTGGTTTCCGAGTGCATCCAGCGATCAGATACCAGCGAAATAAAGTAGTTCGGAGGCATGGGCTCGGATATGGGAACGGTAAACTCAACGAGATGCTCGTTCATCTCGGATTGTGCGTGGTCTTTCCGCAGAAGGAACTGGTCATGGAATAAGATCTCCTCTCCATCGCAATCCTCCACCAGAATCCAGAAGTCTTGAGCGGAGCCATGTAGAGTCTCGTCCCAAACGAAGTTAGGGGTGATCGTCAGTTCGACCCGTAGCATGGAGCGAGTGACGGGTTGAACCTGAGCCTGGACCTCCAGGCGAGGGAACTTGGACACAAGATCACAGACAACACGTCCAGCCTTGGGCATACCCAGGAGCTCACCCATGCGAGGAGGATCAAGGTCGAAGTAGCTACCCCAAGGGACGTCGATTCTCTCCGCCTTCTGCAAGATGTCTCTTGGGCAAGTCGGGAACTGACGGAGGGGTGTCATCGTGGGCCACATGCGCCGCTCAGCCATCTTGCACAGGTTAAGAGCAGTCTTGGCCACGGATGACCATCCCTTCTTCAATGAGATCTCGAAAATAGCGCGCAGAATACGACCAGCTGATTGGGTAACATAAACCATATCGGCCATCAGAGCAAGTCCTTCCAGCTTGAGGCGAGAGATGTAAGCTTGGAGCAAGACATTGATCTTGGAATGAGGCTCGTCGATTCCTTCCTTGACAGGGACAGGTACACGACCAAGTAGCTTCGCAAGTTCCAGCTTCTCATCCTGACGGACCGGAATGTACTTGAACTCATCGCTAAGAGCGAAAATTCGGAACAGCTCGATTGTGGTGATGTTAGGCTGGAGGTGCTGAGAGTAGGTCAACATGGAGTTGTGGCCGATGTAGTAGTGGGAGGCGATACGGCCAAGCTCCGTGGATTGCATACGACCCGTCTTCTTGTCATATTTTACAAGGCCTGCCCTTTCCAGAATTACAGCCGCAGAGTGAACAAGATCGACGCGCTTTTGTTCAAGGGCGTCATCATTTTCATAGTCTGCTCCCACACTGTAGAGGCCGGGTGAGCGGAGCATGCGGACGAACAAGTAGGTGTAACCCAGCCAATCAACCCCCTCGTCACGAGTACGAATGTTTCCGAGAACGATCTCGGCATTCATGTTGTCAGCAAGCTTACTCACGAGCTGACTCTCGATTGGCAATTGCTGATTCAAGAGGGAGAGGTAATACTGGATTTCGGTTTGCGTCGTAATAATGATACCTTCACCGAAGGTATCGTATTGAGGTCGTCCAGCACGACCCAACATCTGCAGGACATCTTGAGGGCTGAGTTCGACCCAGCTACCCTTCTCAGGCGAGTAGATCTGAGTTCCTTTGATGATAACAGTATGGGCAGGCAAGTTGACACCCCAGGCAAGAGTTGCGGTACATACGAGGACTTGGATGCTGCCGTCGGCGAAAAGAGCCTGGACGGAGTCTCGATCAGCAAGACTGAGACCGGCATGGTGAATACCAAATCCATAAGGCAACAGATCCTTGAGCGAGGCGTCATCAACCGACTCAGCCTCTTCGGCCAAGATAGCTCTGCTTGCAGCATCGCTGCGCAGAATCTGGCCGATGGTCTCCATCTCAAGAGCCTTGTCTCTGATGTACTTGGCGGTCTTGGCGGTCTCCTTTCGAGAGTGGACGAAAATGAGCATCTGGTTCCTTTTTTGTCCGACTTGCTCAAGGACTTTGTTGTAGCAAATATCGTTCATGGTCTTCAGCTGCTTGATGGCCTTCTTATCCGTAACGCCGATGAACTCCTGTTTGAGAGGACAAGGTCTGTAGGAGCCATCGAAGTGGAACAGGCCCTTCGCAGGATCAACACGCAGGAAGCTGGCAACATCCCGGTAGTTAGGGAGCGTAGCACTCAGACCAACAATTCGGACTGGGTCGCCAGTCTGTTCTACCTTACGGATGGTTCTGCTAACGATACTCTCGATGACAGGACCACGCTCGTCGTGGAGAAGGTGAATTTCGTCAATGACGATCAGACGGACGAGTCTGGTGTAACTCGTCTCCGAGGCCTTTCTAGTGATGACATCGTACTTCTCAGGAGTCGTGACGATAATCTGAGTCTCAGCAATTTGTTGCTTCGTAAGTTGACGATCACCGCTCAGTTCCGCCACCTTGATGCCATAAGGCTCAAGACGTTTGCCGAGGTTCCCGACCTGTTCCTGTACCAGGGCCTTCAAGGGAGAGATGTAGATGATCTTGAAGTCATCCAGCATGATCTCTCCCGTCTGCGGGTTCCGGTTCTTGCCAATCTCGCGGAGGATAGTAAGCATGGCAACATTAGTCTTTCCTGAACCGGTGGGCGCACAGACAAGCACGTTGCCATCGTCGTGGAAAGCGGTGGGAAAGCACTTGGATTGGATCCGATTGAGTTCCTTCGAACTCCCAAAGCCAACGCGAGCCCACTCGGGCAGCTCGGTCGTAGGAAGATTCTTCTCGCCAGGCTCTTTCTTGGCCTGGGGAGGAGGCACATGAATTTCTTCATATCCCTTGAACGTCCGCTTCGTCGAGCCCTGGGGCAGCTTGACGCTAGGGTTGGTCATCAGGTGATTACCTTGATGGAACACAAGGTTCTCCAGGTTGATCAATCTCTTCGGCTGCAGGCCTCGAACCAATCCTCCCTCCTCCTTCTTCTCTTCCGGCTGCTCAGGAGCGTTGGGAACATCCACATCCATCAAGTCTAGCTTGATCTTCTTCGAGGGACGACTCGCGCCTTCATCGCGGTTGGTCTTGCCCCGGATCTCGTCCAAAATAGCGCGATGTCCAGCTTCAACCATTTCACTCTCGACCAGATGGCGGGCATCCGCGTCTTCAGCGACTCGGCGCCAACGGGTGACCCATACGATCTTATCGCGGTTGGTGACCAAAGTGGCGACAAGCTCGGGCTGCTCATAATCGAAGAGATCCATCAAGTCATTTTCCACGTCGCGAAGAGGTCGCACCTCGCCATCCTCTCCTTTACCTCCGAGAATCTCGAGCGCTTGAGTCGCCTTCTCATGTTGTACGTGAGCATCCGGATATGCGTTGCCGATTTGGCGCTGAAGCCAGTAAGCATCGATTTCTCGTGCAAGAACTGTGGTTTTCTTGTTGCCGCGTTCGTCGCCACGGTCTAACCCGCCGTCGATGACCATCTCTTCAGCGTCCTCTAATCCTTCAAGGTCTGCTTTCTCGGTCGTTGCGTCATCAATACCAGGGACATCCTGTTGGTCGGCTTCGTCTTCGGAAAGTTCGTCGTCGTCGCGAACCTCGTCCAGAGTGCCCATGCGCTCATCGTCCTCATCCTCCTCGTCGAAAACGACAGCAACACCCTGGCGCTCATCCAATTCCGCCTCTCCTTCGCCAGCCAGACCGTCACCCATCTCTTCGTCATCATCCTGGGCATCGTAATCTGTGATCTTCTTGCCCAGGTTGACAAGCTCATTGAATTCCTTGGGATTCATCGAACTGCCCAGCAAGTCATCAATCTCCTTCTTCTTGTCGAAATCCTTCATATCCTCGTCCTTGAGCAACTCCAGTACTGCATCGGCCGCACTGCGGACCACTTCGTGTGGTACGTCGCCCAGGTGGCTGGCGGTCATTGTGAGGATGAGGTCATAGGTGGCTCGAGTGGCAGGGGTGCGAGGACGGTACTTCAGGCCCTCGACGAGGGCATCGGCAGCGGACAGAATGCCCTGGCCGCGTACTTGCGCCGGTTGACCCCGCTGGGTTTTTCTCTGTTCGCGAGCGAGGACATCCTCGCCTTCGCGGATGGACCCTCGCTCGATGTCCGTCAAGCCGGCCTTCTTTTTCGTCTTCGGCGCATCGTCACGCGCCATCCTCGAGCCCATTTCCCGAATGCTGATGCGGCCGGCGAGGGACTCCGGGTCACCGGTGGGTTCATCGTTGACGCGAGAGATGAAACGACGGTCCGCCTGGAGAACCAGGTTGGACATCGCCGAGTATTTGTACTGGGAGATATTTTGGTCGGCCATTTTGATGGTTCTCTGATGGAAAATGCAAGATACAGATAAGAAGGGAAAAGAAAACTAAAAACGATCGTGAGGTGAGTGCAGGTGAGTCGTGGTCTGAGGCTCGGTGGAGCTCAGATTCAGCCGGCGGGCGCGTCGTTGGCACCGGCGACAAGCACTGGATGAGATGAGAGTGGCTCTGTATAATAGTGTAAAGTCGTTCAATTAGGTTTCACAAACCCGGACCATCCTCCGACAAGAAAAAGCACACTCGTCGGCGGCAAGGTTGCGAGCTGCTGAGGAGGAGGAGGGATTCTTGCGGAGTTGAAGGAGTTGGCGTTAGCGAAGTTCGGCAAGGTCTCGTCCCAGCCTGAGCAGATTTGAGTGGCAAAGCGGGAAGGTTTGACGAACGGGAACAGCTACATCTTGTGGCAGCCTGAGGCATCGATCTCCCGCCCTGGTTTCTGCCGCCGCTTTCTTATCCGATTCGGTCAAGCTTCAACGCGTATACAAGGAATTCTTCTCGGCACGCGAAGACAGACAAGAAGTCGGCACGAACGGGGTTGAGACGATGCGCTTTCATGGAGTATCGATCTCCCACCTGATCAACGCGCAACTCCATTCCAGTGTTGGTCGGACTGGCTGTCCTCCTTACCGCTGTCATGTCCACCGCACCATCTGTCATCATGCCCGGAGGCCGAATCTATGCATTCCTAGGGCGACCCCTACCTCCAGAGTCCCGCATAGAACTGCCAAATTTGAATCTGTTGTGAAACTGAAAGACTTGCCTCAAGGGGCGTTGAAATTGGAACCTTATGATGATGGCGCCAATGATGGCCCTCAATACCCTGTCGTTTTGCAGGGGCATCGGAACAACATGCAAAGGTTTAGGAATTGTGTGGTGCTGACCCGTGTTGGCGGATTCTACGAGGTATGAAGACATGACCTAACTCATAGTTTCGAAATCTCAAGCTTTCGTTTGTGCGTATAGTTGCTGACTTGAGTATAGCTGTATTTCGAACAAGCCGAAGAGTTGGCTCCCTTGCTGAACCTTAAACTGGCTATAAGAAGGACAAGCGCTGGGCCCGTATACATGGCTGGCTTCCCTTCCTTCCAACTGGACCGGTTCCTCAAGATACTTGTTCAGGACTTAAGCAAGTATGTGGCCATTAGTGAGGAGTTCGCCAACGATGCCGAGGGCAAGCTTCGCACCGGGGGGCTCCAATTCGATCGAAAGGTCGCGAGGATCATCACACCTGGTACCTTGATTGATGAGAAGTTCATGGATCCTTCCGAGAATAACTTCCTGCTGGCAATCTATATAGATGGCAGCTCGGTGAAAGAGCAGGTAGAGCAGGACGATGGGGCTACGAAGCAACACGTTCTGCCATCCACGTCTCAGAATGTAGGCTTGTCCTGGCTGGATCTCTCCACCGGCGACTTTTTCACTCAGGTCAGCACGGCGCAGATGCTGCCGTCGGCTATTGCCCGGATCGGCGCTCGTGAGATCCTGGTGGATCAAGCACTAGGAGACGGGGTCAGGCAAGAGCTGCAGCTGCTGACCGGGCACGACCACCGGTTGATGACATTTTTCCCATTCCCCTCGAAGATCGAGCCCATGACGAAGTGGGGACCTGTGCTTGAAGCACCCATATCTGCCAAAGCCGCGGCGTCCTTCACCTCGGAGGAAGTAGCTGCTGGCTTCAGCCTTCTTGAATACATCCGGGTGCAGCTACAAGGGTTGAATATGAAGCTTCAGCCTCCGCGGCGTCGAGATCTGGACGAATCCATGAGCATTGACCGGAACAGCCTGAGGGGCTTGGAAATACTAGAGACAGCCCGGGATGGCTTTGGTAAAGGAAGTCTGCTTCATGCGGTGAGCAGGACTTCGACCAAAAGCGGTGCCCGGTTGCTACGTGATCGCCTAAGTACGCCCATAGTCACTTATGCCTAGTCATCATTCTTATACTAATTCACATCGCAGCATCACCTTCGACGTCTATGACGGTGATTAACGAACGATTGGACCTTGTGTGTACATTCATCGACGACGCAGAATTACACCGCAATGTCATCGATTACCTGAAGCGGAGCTATGACGCGCAGCGGCTGGTTCAGAAATTCACTCTGGGGCGAGGAGATGCAGATGACCTGATATGTCTATCTCGAGCCATTGAAGCTTCGAAGGAGATCAGGCGGGTGTTGATGAGCAAAAAGCGCAAATGCAAGGATACGCCAGCAGCTCGGAGCCTCAAATCCATGACGGATCGCCTGTATATGAACGGCCCTATCATCCTGGCTGAGAAGATCTTGGCAGCGATTGATGAAGAGGGATTGCTACAGAAACAACGCATCGAGGATGACACGGCTGCTGAAGCAGCAATGCTCGCACAGGAGGTAGCCTTCAGTGAAGCCCTACCGGGCGAAATAGAGACACTGCCGAAGAAGGTCAGGACGAAGAGCGGCGAACGAGGTGGCAGCGGGGCAACCGATGAAGCGTCGGCCCTCGAGACCTGGATCATGCGGCGCGATGCCAGCCTGGCTCTCCATGACCTCCACGAGGAATTGGACCGACTGCACAACGAGAAAGCGGAACTCACCCAGCGCCTTCGCGACGCTGTGGGGTCGACAGCCCTCTCCCTCAAATGGACACCGGGTCTAGGCCACATCTGTCACGTCAAAGCTGCTAAGATCTCCCAAGAGTCATTAGAAGAATTGGGGGTGACACGGAATGTCTCAATGACCAAGTCTACCCGGTCCTTCTACCTGCCGGCGTGGACCGAGCTGGGCGGCCAGATGGACCAAGTCAAGCTCCAGATTCGGCAGGAAGAACAGGCGATCTTCGAGACGCTGCGCCGCGAGGTCATCCTCAATCTTGTGAAGATCCGCCGTAACGCAGCCGTGATGGACGAGCTGGACGTGGCATGCTCCTTTGCCACCCTGGCCCACGAACAGAGGCTGGTCCGTCCGATCCTCGTCGAGGGCACATGCCACAAGATTGTAGGCGGTCGACATCCCACGGTCAAGCTGGGTCTGGAGGAGCAGGGCCGGCGGTTCGTCAGCAACGATTGCTTCCTGGGCGACCCGGACCGCATCTGGCTGGTCACCGGGCCCAACATGGCCGGCAAGAGCACCTTTCTCCGACAGAACGCCCTGGTCACGATCCTGGCGCAAGTGGGGTCCTTGGTTCCGGCCGACTACGCGGAGATGGGCATTGTCGACAAGATCTTCAGCCGCATTGGCGCGGCCGACGACTTGTTCCGCGATCAGTCGACTTTCATGGTGGAGATGCTGGAGACGGCGGCCATCTTGAAGCAGGCGACTCCGCGCTCCTTCGTCATCATGGATGAGGTAGGCCGGGGCACGACCCCGGAGGACGGGACAGCCGTGAGCTTTGCGTGTCTGCACCACCTGCACTATCACAACCGCTGCCGTACGCTCTTCGCAACCCACTTCCACGCGCTGGCAGACATGACCCAGGACTTCGAGTCGCTGGGCCGGTATTGCACCGATGTCAAGGAGACGGTCAGCGGCGGGTTCTCATTTGTGCACCGGTTGCGCAAGGGCGTGAACCGTGAATCGCACGCACTGAAAGTCGCCCAGCTAGCTGGACTGCCCTCGGAGACCATTGAATTGGCGCGACGTGTGCGTCAACAAGGACTAGCCACTAATCCCGACCAGTGCAGCCCGACATCAGCCCCAGCATAAAACACACCCATCGCGGCAAGCATCCAATCCCTCTCCCCATTCAGCACAGCGCACAACTTAGCAAATATGTACAGTACATTATATTCCCCCCCACCTACCCACAGCCCCTTTCCCCCTACCACCCCATCTCGATATCTACCACATAATCTATGTACACTACTTTTCCCCCTCCAATATACAATATACCCCACGTCCCAATCACCCCCAAACCTTCAGTCCGACCGCCGTAAACCAGCACTCCCACCCCTCAAAGCCTAGCCTTCACGCCCAGTCCCGACTCCACCTCAACCACGACCCCCTCCCCAAACACCACCTCCTGCACATCCTCCTCCGCCACGCCATTCATAAACTGCACGACCAAGAAGTCCACGCGCCGGTTCCCGACCACCGCCATGGGCGCATGCCACGTGCCCGCGCCGTAGGTGACCGCCTGCCCGCCGCGCGCGACGAACGCCTTGACGCGGCTCAGATCCGGCGGGTCGGCGACGGTCACCACCTCCCCGGAGCTGGTGGTGGCCTGGGCGGTCGAGCCCTTGAGCGAGGGCGCCACGACGACCAGATAGTAGGGCTCCGGCTCGGGGGTCTGGGCCGGGCCGGGCCCGGTGGCCGGCTGGCTGGAGAGGTCGAGCGGGGAGAAGGTCTGAGTGGTGTAGGGGTGGCGTTCGAGGATGCGGATGTCGAAGACGGCGGATGTCCCGGCCCCGGTCGAGGGGCGCGGGCGCAGGGTGCGCGGGAAGCAGGAGAACATGGTCATGCGCGCGGACGAGGCGCGGCCGCTGGGGCAGTTGCTGCCGTAGTGGTCGTCCAGTGGGGAGATGGGACTGTACTTCAGGGCGGTGTTTTGGTTGGCGAGCACGGGGGTCGGGTGCAGCGCGGTCAGGGCGGAGGCTGGTGGTGGGGAGGCCACGGTGCGGGGCAGTGGTGAGGTGATGGCTGTGCCGTAGGGGTGGAAGGCGGACGGGGTGAGCGGTTCCGGGGTCAGGGTCAGGGTTGGGGTTGGTGAGGTCAGGGTTGGTGGGGACATGATGCTGATGCTGATGCTGATAGTGCCTGCCGGTGGTCAATTGGCGATGGCAATTGGCAATTGGAGGAGGTTGTTTGGTTTGGTGGGATGAGGTTTGAGGGAGTTAGGTGAGGTGAGGTGAGGAGAGAAGGGTCTGGGGGTGATTTATAGTAAAGAGGGAAAGTCTGGGGGAATGGAGTTCTCGGTCGAGAGCTCGGTCTCTCCTCTCCAGTCCAGTCCACTATATCTGGTCCAGACCAGGCGACTAACGTTAGCTGATAAGTTATCGGCACTCGCCGTTATCTGCAACCGGCGGAAGAGGCCGATTCTGTAGCGTCGATTGGGTAATTGGCCATTCGTGCAGGTGGTTAACTAAGGTACTGACTGGTTAGTTATTGTGGATTCAGTTTATATCCATGAGAGTGTTGCTCGTTGCTCGGTGGTGTAGCTTGTAGTTCATGTATATCGCTATAGTGACGTAACTAAATGGCGTTAAGAGTCATGACCTAACATCGCCAGCATTTAATTTTGTCTGCCATCCGCTGTCCGAGACTATCCGCTTGTGCATGTGCATGACTTACTCATTATGCCCGACTTGACCTGATCCCCTGGATCAATCCTTGGCCCAGGAAATTGCAAATGGACAATCCCCACTTTGGGTGTCTCAGCCACAGAATCTCCCCCGCCAGGATGTGGCAGTGTCTGAGTCGCGTCAGCCTTATGCTTGCCTGGAACAGGCAGGAACCAGACAAATTGAGGATTGAAGTTTAGGTACCAAAACTAATGTGGGCGATTATTGCCCAGCACAGCCACGACTGGGGGGCAGGCACTGGGCAGTGAAGCAACGCTGCTTCGCTTCCTCTACAAGCAAGCGCTTATATAGCTAGCCCAGCTCTTCGCTCTTACTCTCGCTCTTTCTTTTCTCTTCCCCACTTCACTGTCCTCCTTTTACTTCCATTTTTCTCTGGTCTTCACTTCCAGAAACAAAACTCCCACAAAGACATTTCAGCTCACAAAGTCACCAGCCAACCCCGATGTCAGCACAAGAATACTTCGGCGGGTCTTCTCAAAACCCTCCTCGTCGGGAGGAATCCCACACTCCTGGACCCTGGAACTCATCGACGCCTGGACCGGACACGCCTCGCACCAGCGCCTACAGTCCCTATCCCCCCTCCGAGAACTACTATCGTCCAAACTCCAACCCCAACCCCAACCCCAATCAGAACTACTATGCCTCCCCACCAGACCCCCGGATGGCGCAGGGGTCATGGAACGGACCTTCTCCTTCCCCCTCCCTAGGCGGCGAAGGCTACCCCCACCAGCCGTACGGACAGCAGCCGCAGCCCCCGTACCCTCAGCACGGAGGACCCTCCCCCACCCCTTCTGGCTACCCCCCATACCCTCCACAAGAAGGAGGAGGAGCACCCTACAATGACCGCCCATATTCCCCCTACCAGCAGCAGCAGCAACAGCAACCAGGCCCCCAACAACCCCCACCCTACAGCACCAACCCCAACCTCCCGCCGGGCGCCACCGACGACCAAGACCGCGGCTTCCTAGGGGCCGTGACCGGCGGCGCAGCCGGCGCCTTCGCAGGCCACAAGGTGAACCATGGGTTCCTGGGCGCGATCGGCGGCGCGCTGACGGGCTCCGTCGCGGAAGACGCCATCAAGAACCACCGCAAGAAGAAAGAGGAGGAAGAAAAGGAAGCCCTCCGCCGGCAGAAGGAGGCCCTCAAGGAGCAGAAGCGCCGCGAGAAGGAAGAGCGCAAGATGCAGCGCCGCGCCGACCGTCACCACCGCCGGCACTCCTGCTCGTCGTCCTCGTCGTCGTCCTCCTCCTCCTCCGATGACGAACGTAAGCATCATCCCGGAAGAACCTTCCGCGGGAACTTCTCCGGCTCCTCCCGCGAGATCCGGCTCGAGGGGTACCACGAGCTCGTGGCCTACTGCGGCGACGTCGACGGCCGCCAGCACCGCTCGGTCATCCCGCTCAACGACGTCCTCACCAACTCCTGGGGCGAGTTCAAGTGGGCCCGCCACGGCAATTTCGCCGCCTCGGCGAGCAACGTCCACCTCGAGGATGGGGGCCGCGTCCTGGTGGCGGATCTGGGCGATGGCAATGGCGGGTGGAAGAGGAGCTGGATCCGCTTGGATGAGAGGATCTCAAATCAGAATGGGCGGTTGGTGTTCTTGGATTAGATGGTGATGAAGAGAGAGTATTTCTTTGGAGGATGGCCTGCCACGGGAGCGGGTTTTCATGGATAATGGGTTTTAATGCATCAGCTTTCTGACACTGGACTTTGTGGCTATCAATTATCGTAGTCCTACAGAGTACAACGTAGATCTTACGATATCAAACAATGCGGCAGGGTCTACTTTAAATGAGCAGTTCTTCTAATCGAAGCATTACAACCAATCAAAACCGTCAGGGTAAGAAAAACATAACTATCTAATAGGTAGGCATACACGCCGAACCTCGGTCACAATTTAGCTCAGCTAACCAACCCATCCCTCTTATCAACGACTAAAATGAATACATTCAAAATCAGAAAAAACGAACGAAAGAATCGAAAGGAGGTATGGCACAGGAAAGAAAGGTAAGTTGGTCAAGGACAGTATGGTTAATGTGATCGAAAAATGTTTATACAAGTGCAGAATAAGAAAATTCAGAACGAGTGATGGACAGACTATACCATAGTCTTGGGATCTGTATTGGTGTGTGGTGTGTGATCAGGCCTTTAAACAACCGGTGTCACGCCCGGCGTGATCTGTGGTGTCGAGGAAGCCATGATGCTGAAGGTCGAGGATGGATAGGCCCAGGCGGGGCGGGAGCTGGAGGCGGCGGGTGTCGAGGAGGGGATTGCGGCCGAGGTCGAGCTGCCGTATATCAGGGGGGAGGAGGTGGGTGGGCTTTGGCTGTTGTTAGGGTCTGGGGACCCATCGGAGGAGGAGCCATCGTCTGAAGAACCATCGTCTGAGGAGCCGTCATCTGAGGAACCATCATCTGAAGAACCATCATCAGAGGACCCGTCGTCGTCAGATGAGCCGTCATCTGAGGAGCCTTCATCTGAGGATCCATCGTCTGAAGAACCATCGTCAGAAGAGCCGTCATCCGAGGAGCCGTCGTCTGAGGAGCCATCGTCTGAGGAGCCGTCATCATCACCATCACCATCTTCAGAATCCGGCACGGTCGACGGCGCAGCGCTGGGCTCTCCGATAGTGCTGCTACCAACATGAACACTTGCACTAGCCGAGTGATCTGCGCCGGGTGTATGGATAGCATGTGTGCTGGTTGCCGTGACCGAGTGCTGAGCATGATGCGAGGTATTGATAAGCCCGGTAGCAGACGTGTGCACTGCCGCAGTGGAAGATGCATGGCCTGCCTCGACAGAGCGTGTCACGGATCTAGACGCAGTCTCTTTACCGGTTGTAGGAGTGTGCCCCGCTTCCACTGGGGTTGTAATAGACTTGGAGGCTGTCTCGACTCTGGTCGAAGAGGCATGATTCAGCTCTGCAGTGCTTGTGACAGACTTGGAGGTTATCTCGACCTTAGTCGAAGAGGGATGGTGTAGCTCTGCAGTGCTTGTGACAGACTTGGAGTTTATCTCGGCCCTGGTCGAAGAAGCATGGCTCAGCTCTGTCGTGCTTGTGACAGACTTGGTGGCCGTATCAACCTTGCTCGTAGATCCATGCTCCACTTCGGTGGATTTTGTAACAGACTTAGAACTTGTTTCTTTGGTGGAAGTCGACGACGAGTGCTGGATTGCAAGGGTGGACGTTCTAGAGGTCGTAGTGGATGACGATGTTGACTCTGAACTAATTGCAGTGGCTGAATGCTCGGCCTCAGGAGACTTAGTGGATATGGAAGTTGTGGTCTTGCTAGTGGTGGACGGAATAGTGGTAATAGATGAAGTCGAAGTTATGGTAGAAGCATGCGAAGTGGTTGTGCTAGTGGTGGTGCTCGTGGTGGATGTCGTGGTGGAGGAAGCAGTTGTCTTCGAGCTGGAGGTGGTCGTATGCTTCTCCTCGGTTGTTGTAGTCGTAGTTGTAGTGGTGGTCGCATGGGTGGTCGTCGTCGACTTCGTGGTTGTCGGCTCCTCTTTCTTGGTGGTAGTCGTCTTCTTCTGCTCTGCCTTTGTAGTAGTGTCTTTACCACCGCTGTGCCCCCATATAGTACTACCGCTGCTGCTGCTGCTAGACTTGTGCTTCCTCCGCTGCAGGACATAGGCCAAGCCATGCCTGGCGAAATTCTTGTGAGGATCAGGGTATTCCACAATATCTGCCACTGTCGCAATAGAGTCATAAGACTCGACTGAGTTGGCATTTGAATCGGCCGCCAGGGCTCCGGTAACAACACCACTAGCCCAAAGGGCCAGCAAGAAGGTTTTCCTGAGCATAGTTCAGATCTTGCTGTAAGATGAGGCTATCTGGGTTTGACCGGACCTGGGTCTCTTGCAACCCTTTTATCCCTCATCTTGGTCGATGCATTCATTTTTAAGGCCCTTTCTTGCCCACGGTTTCAGACAGTTCAACAACGCAACGGACTTTGAGATGCTGTAGAGACATCGTGGCCCCTCAGCTAGATTATCGCCATCTGGTAGGTATGGAAATAGTGCAAGTAGTGATTGGGGGCTGAATCTCGAAGGGAAAGCTCATTACCAGTAAAGGAAAAGTGAGATGGAGGAGAAATGAAGCTCTGCCCAGTGCCCACCGCCCCCACGACCGACGTTTGCTTACTTCCTGACTCGCAGCCAACATCGACTTTCCTCCTTCGCCCCCAACTTGACCCACCAACTCATTTGCTTCAGGACCATTGCACTGCCGCCAAAATTCTCACGGTATTCTCGCCGGGGATTCCGGTTCGTCCGCTCATTGTTCCTGCCGCAAAGCTAAGATCTGATTAATAAACTGTCATGAGTAAGCTAACAGGTCTCTGTTTGAGTCTCTACTGTTCTTGTTCGCTAAGAGCCAAACTAGCCAGTGGCTGTGACACAATGGCAGCAGAAGTCATGGGTCCTTGGTCTCTACGTCCCACCAGCAGAGTCCACCATATTTATTGAATGCCTCCAGCAACACGGGCAATGAAATGGCCCAATCCTGGCAACGTCTCGAAAACATGGCACAAGCGGCACGAAGATACTCCACTGAGTGAGAGATGCAACAGTCCAATCCTTGTGATTACTTCTAACCAGCAATTGACCAACAGGCTTGGCAATATGATGGTTCCCAACCGTTGAGTAATCATGATTAGTTATATTGTTAGTTGGGAGTGACGCGCGCTGACCATGGTTTCATATTCGCCCTCGCAGTTAGCATCCGAGGTGAAACATATTTGTCTCTTGATCGTTCATCCTTGGACCAGAGGCTCTGGATCTCTTTAGTCGTACCGAGCTATACGAAGTGACCAGTAGGAATGCGACTTGGATGCCGAACTGCCATCATCGGATGTTGTCCAGGCATATCAGCCCCCAAGCTTTAGGGGTGCCCTGCCTGCTCAAGACTTAGCCCATCACTCCGACACCTGGATAATCATTCCAGGAGTTGTCTCTGCGATCCTAGCGGATGCGACATTGTCATGCAACCAACCCCAATGAGCAGCAAGCGTTCCACGAGGGCGGTTTCAGTTCTGGGCTGTCATGCCGGCTTCCGCGAGTTGCGTTTCTGTCGCTGCGTGGCGTTGCGGGAGTGTCTTAAGAAGTGACCGGCGCTAAGCCTTGAATACATTTCACAACCATATCGTCGATTCGCTCCTGTCATCGGCTTTCTCGGGGTCGCGTTAGCACCCAAACGCCTTTCGTTCCTACCAGAATGAGACGTGCCACAATCACTTTCAGACCTCCGATGGCCCATTCTTTCCAACTCTGAAGCCTTGAATTCTGAACGAAAATGGTTCTGTCGATTGAGTTCTATTGATTCTTTATGACAGCTGGGACTTGAAAGGGCCATTGGGCTGATGCTCAATCACGACACCCATACACAAATGTAACAATGCAAGCTATGTACTGATTCGGTAGCCAAAAGCAAACCTTTCTGTACCGACATCTTCGGCGACATTCACAATGCCCACTATGAGCTGGTCGATTCCTTCTCCTTCAGTCCAGTCTTGGTCTCCACATGCTCCTTACTAAGATGCTGCCGGGTGATGAACATGCTGGCAATAAAACCAACAGCCGCCACACACGCATACAGAATCCAGATGTTACGAAGACTCCAGGCATAGGCGTTGGTTACCGCATGGCGTTGTTCCGCATCCTGAACAGAAGAGATGATCACCACATTGGACGCAGCTTCCGACCCCGAGAACTCATCCAGATATGACGACGACAAGCCTGCGGCGCGGAGATCTCCCTGCCGCATTTCCATACTGTTCTGGAACACGACGCCACCCAGAACCACCGACATGGCCATCGCCACGTTGCGGATGAATCCAAATGTTGCGGTCGCGCTTGCAGTGTCCCGTTGCGAAACGTTGCTTTGTAGAGCAAGAAGGGGCGGGAAGAAGAGCAAGCCGCATCCCATGCCGGTTACAATCTGGTACCCAATAATCTTACCCAGCGACGAGGTGGTGTCGAGATTGATGAATAGCCCGACACCGAGAACAACGAGGGTGGTTCCCGCCCAGACGATCTCCAGGTATCGGCCAGTGCCATGGATAAACAAACCAGCAAACAGACTTAGAGCGGCTTCGGTGAGCACGAATGGAAGAATCATAAGTCCAGAGTGGAAGGGAGTTGCTTCTTTTGCTGACTGGAAATAGGTCGGAAGATAGTACTCCGATCCGAGGAAAGCCTGATCACCTGGATGTTAGTAAGTGGCCCACAGGGTAAGAGGATCCAGCTCAGACTCACAAAGCCGTGGGTGAATGCGACCAGAAAGCAGGCAACGTTGGATCTGTTGTGGAAGACACCCAGTGGCATGAGCGGATACTTAGCCAAGCGCTTCTCACTATAAATAAAGGCGACCGACATCAAGGCGCCAAATACGATCAGACAAATCACTTTCGGCGAGCCCCAGGGGAACGTGGCTCCTCCGAAATCCAGCCCCAACAGCAGCAAGATGATGAGGGCAAGCATGGAGAAGCTACCCCACCAATCGACTGCCTTGATGCCGGCCAGCACTGGCGTCCTAGGGTTGTGAATGTTCAAGAAGAAGAAAAGTAGCACAAAAGCCGTTCCACAGACTGGGAGGTTGATCCAGAAAATCCATCGCCAGGAGACGGACTGGGTGAAAGCACCACCGACAAGAGGGCCCATGGCCCCCGCAATAGCCCAAATGAACTCGATGAGCCCCATGAAGAGGCTGCGAAGTCTGTTCGGAGGTCAGCATTCATCACTTCTAGGGTGCGGGTATGCATCGGTCTCATACCGAACACTAAACAAGTCAGAGATAGTGATGGTAATCAACTGAATGAGTCCACCACCAGCTATGCCTTGTAAGCCACGACCCGCGATCAACATAGGCATGTCAACCGCAGTAGCGCAGATGATCGATGCGCCAAAGAACAAGGCAACGGCAGTGAGCAGAACGGGCTTCCGTCCCCAGATATCGGAGAGATTGGCCCAGATATTAGAACTAGCCGCATTGGCCAGGAGATATGCACCTCCGATCCAGACATAGCCCGATGCGGAGTGCAATTCTGACGAGATGGTGGGGGTGGCCGTAGCCACAATGGTCTGGTCTAGGGCTGAGATGAAAAGAGCAAGCTTGAACATGCGCGTATCAGTAAGGGCTTATCAGTTGGGCTCTCTACCGAAAACTTTGGCTGGAACGAGCATGCTTTGGCTGCGGTAACATACCGAAAGAGCAATCATGGTCGCAAAGATCTTCCAGTTGCTGCGAGCTACCGGGGCATCCTGACCCGATTCGAGCCTTTGAATCTGCAACTGCGAAGTGCCTGGTTCTGGGCCATGGCTCAATAAATGTTCGTTATTGTCCGAAACGCCCGAGCCGTGCGTCTTTGCAGTCGCAGGTTGAGACGGAGACAAAGTCGCTTCCATCTCGATCGGGACGGAACTCTGCTGAGCTACGCCACCCATAATGAAGGACTATGAGCAAGTACTGAGCACAGGCCTCTATCTTGATGCTAGAGGAGAAACAGTTCAAACGACAGGAAGGGATTGGAGAGAAATCTGGGTTGAGTCAAAGCGGTTTGTTCTGTTTGTCTTTCTTCCCATTCTTGGCTCGGAAGACATCCCGAGATCTTACGGAGTAACTGCATGTACCATCCATGATTGATATCACATCAGACTTGACTCATGATGTATCTGCAATGGATCCTTTCAGAAGAAGGGTTGTCTATTATTGACGAGCTTATCGCTTCACATGAAACTACATCACCTTATCATAAATATTTCGAACGCGACGATCCGGCTATTCTGGCGGAAATCTTGATATGAAGATTACCGTCTCGGAACCAGAAGCGTTCACCACGCACATACTTTGCAGCGAATTTGGGATTGACCTTTGCTTTTGCTTGGTCATATGTGTGCACCACCGTATATTTTGAATGCTATTTTCTCAGCTCTGTGGTATCGAACGTGAGCCATGACCTCTTGCTCGCCTTATTGGAGAACAGCACGGGTCCACAGGGCGCGGCACGCAAACTATATATACCTCTCATGCAAGCATCGCTTATTGGCACTAGCAATCGACTGATTTCAGGAAGCTGCCACATACCAAAACGAGTAGTGAATCGATATAGGGCCTACGCAGACCGACCCTATTATAGTCAGGCTGTATGACCCAGCAGCTTCTGACATCATGGGTGACTTCCTCCTTGGGACGCCGCGGAACCTGCTCCAAGGCGCTGCTAGGTATATCCCTGGATAGAGTAGGTCGATCGTGACATGTAATGCAGCTTCTCTCGAAGACAGCTTACCACATCCCGCTTCTGAAGCCGATTCTTGAAGAGTGATTTAGCCCAGTCTAGACTTGTCTCATAAGAATGAAAACCACTGGTAAATGGTTGAGTGAAATATACTATAATGGATATGCTCGCTTCCTACAAGATCAGCATGCTTGTTATGACTTTAGGGTGTATCCAACAGGGATTTAATGCTTAGCAAGTATCAGTGTGAGTGCACGCATCCATTGGGTCGCTATTTTGAAGGCGGTTCAATGGTTCGCCAAGCAGTAAGCTACCATAGTATGAGATCTCGATATGGGGTTAGTCGGAACAGCGTTAAGTGTTGGAGAAAAGCGGAGTGAAGGTTAGTGTATCATATTGTCGAGTGTGCTGTTGTTCAACAAAGTCAGATTCACTAGACCGAATGCCGAAAACCTATGATAGGACATTGACAATTGTGAGTACAGTAGAACTAGTGAGTAGAAAGTGTTGTAACTTGCTTCGTAGTGTTATACCGTGGACGCTACCTAAGTGATGGCCCGGGAGCATTATCACATGCTTGATAAACTGCCGACGGGCACGAATTACGCTAGTCCCGATATGGGAAGCAACAATGAAAATGGGCCCGAGCTAAGCCAAATCCAGCAAGCTCTCACTTTTGCGCAGAGCAGTGGCCGATCGCCTCTCGCGGGCTCAGTCCACCAAATCCCCAACTCAGCAAATACAACTCAAGACCTGGCAAAAACACGAGGGTCAGTTTTGCATAGAGTGTTCGACATATCACTTCACGCATACATCAGCGCAACCGCGAACGCGTGCAGTTCTTATTCAACACCACCAACCCTGTCAAGACAAGGACCACCGACCCCCAGGCCTCAACGTCATAGCGGCTGACGAAGCGGTTACCATCCGAGATCGAATCACTTCCTCCCTCCGACCCTCCCTCTCCCATCCATTTTCGGTCTCGAGTTACTCCGTATTCCTTGCTGCTTTTATCTTGCCTACCTTATCCTAGGCCTCCCAAGCCTTTTCTGGTGTAGCTCCCTTCTCCAATTATTCAATCTCTTATCTTTCCTATGCTTTTGCCTGCTTCTGATGCTGTTTGATCTACTCCATGAGCGGGCTCCTCTCCTCTTTGTTGATTGAACCCGTCGTTCGGCAGGCCCGTCGCCTCTCACAACAGACCACTCCACCACCATCCTCCGACTCCCTCGCAGCTGAAAAAGATCATTGCTCGTCCGTGGCCAGTAATGGCACCGAATTTCCTCACAGTGCGGTCATGATCGATTCAGCGAACCCGGTAGATCTGTCAAATGCCGGAGATGCGGGGTCTGAAGATGGCCGCCCTGTTACATCCACTCCACCTTCGAGCAGTTCGTCGAGTCGAGTTTCTCGTGGACCAGAACACCGGTTTCCCGCTGGATGGACAATCAACGCAGGTCATGCCGGCGTATCACAGAATACATCTCCCCGGATGACGCGCACAAATACCCTGACCAGCCCACAGCAGACCGTCTCAGCTCCAACTAGGCAAGATGTCTTCCAATCCTCAAGTCCACATTCGCACACCCCGGAGCAGGCATTGAGTAACATGGTTGGGACGGACGAGTCCGGTCCTTCGGCACTTCCAGAGGACGACGGAATGGGTGCTTTACGGAGACGAATCCATGCGATTCGAGATGTGGGTTATAGCAACACAGACCAGGCACGCATGATCCACGCACTGATGACCGAGAAATACAATCTCCACCGGGTTGACTCTGCCGACCAGAGTACTCCTAGGAGTCCGACGCCTCTCACTCCACAGAGTCCGAAGCAGGACGAATCTGCTCGCCGATGGAGCATCATATCCCTGGAGCGGTCGTTGTTACCTTCGTCTTCCACTCCGGCCAAGGGCGAGATCTCTTATAATTTGACGGCAGAAGATTTGGTGCCGACATATGCACCGAAACCAGAACTAGAATCACCTGCCTGTGAGGTTGACGATCTGGACCTCGAAGAGGTCGAGGAAGTCTTTCTTGGCTGTCCACATTATAAGACAAACGTCAAGGCGCAGTGTTTTGACTGCAACAAATGGTACACATGCCGCTTCTGCCATGACGAGGTTGAGGAGCACCGTATGGACCGGCCGAAAACAGAGCACATGCTCTGCATGCTGTGTGGGGAAGCCCAGCCTGCAGCACAATCCTGCAGGAAGTGCGGCGAACAAGGGGCGCAGTATTATTGTGATATCTGTAAGCTTTGGGACAACGACGCCAACAAGAGTATATATCACTGCGGTGATTGTGGCATCTGCCGCATTGGAAAAGGTCTGGGGAAAGACTTCTTCCACTGCAAGGTGAGCGGACCTATAAGCCCAGCTGAGCAATGCTGGAAGCTAACCAAATCTCAGACGTGTAGCGTTTGCCTTCCTATATCTATCGAGAACACCCACCGATGCATTGAGCGATCTACGCAATGCGATTGCCCCATTTGCGGAGACTATATGTTTACTTCCCCGGAGACTGTAGTATTCATGCGTTGTGGCCACAGCATTCACCAACGGTGTCTTTCCGAGTATTCCAAGACCTCGTACCGCTGCCCGATCTGCAGCAAAACCATCACCAACATGGAGTCTACATTCCGGAATCTGGACCGCACCATTGAAAGCCAGCCTATGCCGGCGGAATTTAAGGACACCAAAGCTCTGGTCTATTGCAACGACTGCAGTGCGAAGTCTGTCGTGAGATATCATTGGCTGGGATTGAGATGTGATTTGTGAGTCTTGATGCTTCTCTATTCCTATTCAAAATCTAATGAGATACAGGTGTGAGTCGTACAATACCGCACAGATTCGTCTGGTTCGAGGCAACGCTTCAGACCCCTCTGCCCTGGAGAGTGATAGCGAAGGAATATCGACACCGCGGGCCAGGTCTTCCTCCCATGGCGCTGATGAGAGCGGTCTGCCTACGTTCGAGTCGCTGCGAATTGACACTAGCTCGGTTCCCGGGCCCGACTCTCGGCTTTCTGTCCCCATGTCTGCCGATCCGAGTCGGCAATTCGCCTCCTACAGCTTGACTCGTGATCGTGCTGTGTCGCCCGTCATCAGAAACTACTTTGGCATTCCGCCTGACCGTGATTCGGAGCGGTCGCAGTCGACTTCCTTCTTCAGCGGCCTCACATTTGGTGGCGTCGGCGGTGGCGGAGGAAGGAATGAAGATGGCGGTGAACTTCGCTTGTGGGGTACCAAGTTCAAGTACAGCTATGGTTTCCTTGGGCAGGAAGCCGAGTCCGTCGACGGCGCATCCGATGCCGATGTCGAAGAAGACGAGGGTGATGGTGCCTCAGGGAACAGCGGCTCAGAGGACGGCAGCGATGAGGAAGAAGACGATGACGAGGGTATTGATATTTTTGGCCACCGCTGAGGTCACCAGTCGGTGCTGCTTGTCGCATGCTACCCTCCCACTCCTGCAGCGGCGTGAAATAGGCTTGCCTAGCTACCGATGCGGATACTTTCTGACTTTGACCGACAAGCCGCTGACCTCTTTAGCATAATCGAAAAGTGACGACCAACTACATTGGCGAAGACGAAAGTTGGCTGGACCAACTAAGTGACTTGTATGATATCTTGCTACGGACATGGTGGGCGTCTAGTGATGCATGACTTCGACCGCAGCTTCGCTTGTTTCTGTTTCTTACGGATGATACATTTTGCATCTATATTCGGCGTCTGAGTTGCCGGGACGAGGATTTGTCTGTTATTGGAGATCGGTGGGTGGTGTTAAAATGTTGTTGGTACTTGCGATGCATTGAAACACACATCTCGCATGCATGAGGCGGAGGCATAGTCTAGATTTGTTTATCGATTTCAACTACTACTAATTCTGCTACTCTCTCTGTCTCTTATGTTTTAATTACATATACTGGTATAACCCGTTATCAACTGCTAGCTGCTTCCTGCAGCTGCCATTATGCTGTGCTGCAGCTGCATTGCAAATCGGGATTAGTCAGCGTGGCTGGATGCGGCGGCTTCGACGGGCTTCATTCTTCTTCCGGCCTGATGACGACGAAAGGTGAAATACACTCCCTCCCCTGGTCGATCCCATGATGGACGCCCTGGAAAGCCATGCTTTCTTTTCCCCTGCCTTATCTCTCGTATCATCATACATACTTTCGGGGCTGAGTTCGTGACTGGTCGACTTGCTTAGCTTCTGCCTGTCCTCCTCGACATTGTTGCCCTTTGTCCCAACTAACTACTGTTCCTTCACTCTGACAAACGCTTACACTTACACTTACACTTTCACTCCCTACTAGTTCGACACTCCAACCAAACTCTCCTCTTCTGAAACAGAGCACGGATCTCTTCTCAGGCATGCTCCGAACTGCAGCCTGATCCGACCTGAACGAATTCCCAACTCTCCTTCTCTACTACAATACAGGGGTCATCCACGGAACCTGCGTATCTACCCGATCCCGTCTCGTCAGCGCCCTCTCATATCTCGATATCTCGGTTAACCCCCCGCTTCCCGTGGAATCAACCGCAGAATATGATCCGTCGCAACTCCGACATCGACGTCCAACTCTCCGATGCGGCCCCCCCTCCCTCCGTCGAATCCGAACCTCCGACAGAAGCAGATGTGGAGATGATGTCTGATGAGCCAACATTACCTTCGAACCTGCCCACCCACCTCGCCGCTCGCTTTGCTCGCAAGCCGAGTGTCGTTCGCCGCTCCTCCGCCGCCTCCTCCCGCCGCAGCTCGATCTCCTCCCTGAACGGGCCCGCCCATGGCGCGTCCTCGACCGAACACGTAGCACATCACCTCCGACGGACCTCCATTCTCGAGAGTCGCAAGGCTCGACTCGCGGACCGCGCGTTGCACGCGGAGAAAGTCAGGCTCCGGGCTGCCTTGGCGAAAGCGGCCACCCGGAACCTGCAGCGGGAGGAGCGAGCCCTGGCTGCCCAGCAGGCCCGGGAGCGACTCTTGGCGGAGATCACAGCCAGGTGCGAGGAGGAAGTCCGTCGCGCGAAGAAGAAGGCGGAAGACAACCGGGAGCGCAAAGCCGCCGAACACGCTCGACTCCGCTTGGAGATCGCGGAGAAGTTCGCAGAGGCGGAGAAGCGCCGGGCGCTCTACCAGCAGACCCAGCGGCGCCACCGCACGAGCAGTCTGCCCTCAGCTGGCGACGAGAAGATGCCCAAGGCGGCCACCGCACAGGCAGTCACCCGGGATGCCGCCGCTCGGATCATCCAGCGGGTCTGGAGGACCTACCATGCGAAGATGGTCATGCGTGGTTTCCTGGCTCTCGACCTGACCACCGATCGTATTCGGGAGAAGGATTTCGAGGAGGTCGGTGTCCTATTGTCGAACGAGCGGGTGTTGGAGACAACGGCCCGGGTCCTTCGGCTGTGTGGTCTGCAGGATATGGAAAGCGGCACGATGGGTGGACGGGGTGCGGTGCGCACGTTTCTCAGCAGTTACTTGATTGTGACTCACCCTACTGAGGTTCTGAGCAGCAACGGAGAGCAGGAGCAAGACCTGATTGCTAAAGCGCGGGAGCTCCTCGCCGCGTTCGAGTTGGTGACCCCCTTGCTCTCCTCAGGGTGCTGTTCTCCCGCGGCCATCGCCACCGATCTGCAGGCTCTATGCGAGGCCTATAATGTCTTTTTCTCCGCATTCCACGCCTGGAAATCTCACGATTCCAGCGTCCTCATTGAGATCATGTTGGCTCAGTTTATCGAACTGGAGTTGATCTGGCAGACAGTCAAGAATGATCGTGCTGGCGGCGTCGCAGAGGATTATCGCCAAGGAATCCGGCAGAATCAGATCTTGCTCCTTGCTAGATTGAAGCGATTGGCAGGCGCTGATAAGGCCATGGAGATGGTGCGGAATGCCCTGAAGAAGGCAAAGCGGGAGAAGAAGCGGACCGCGTCCAAGCAGGCCATCCCGCGATCGGCGGAGGTCGCAACCGCTTCAACGGAAGCCCTCACAGAGAGTGTTACTTCACCTATCAGTGAGACATTCAACACCGTGGACAGTGGGGTCTTGCATGAGCTAGACCGGCAGCGTGTTTCGCCCCACGAGCGGTTTACTCGGATGCTGACGGCACTGCCGGAAAATCGGGCTCTGGTGCACGAGCTCTTGATCAACAAGGAGTTCCGGATTGACGAGAAACAGTACACCGAGCCACGCAAGCGTATCATGAAACACATGTGTGACATGATGCGTAAGGACGTTGAAGCTGGCCTGGAGACAAACTGGACAGTGGCCATGGCTACGGTGATCCAAGACCGTTTGCTTCGCTCACTGCGGCCAGGGAATTCGCTGCATGTGCTGATCAGCGAGGTGCTGGACCCCAAGTTGGTGGAAAGCCAGTGCAGGGCCGGCGCCTTCTCCTACGACAGCTTCTTCAATTTCATGACTACTATTCTACCCAAGCTTTGCGCTCCGTACCGTGATCCGGTCGTCAAGGCATTTGCCGAGGACACGTCGGGCGACGCCATTGACCGACTTGCCCGACTAATGGGCATCATCGACCTCCTCTCCCTTGACCACACCAACTTCATGATTCAGGTTGCAGCACCACAACTGATCCAGGAGGCTCCCGGGTATGAGCAGCGGACATTCGAGAAGGGTCTTCAAGAGGGCACTCAGAGCTTGGGGAAGACGCGGCGCTTTTGGCGGACGCACCGCAAGATCATTGCTGATGAGATGCGCAAGCGGGACCCGGAGAACGTGCACGGGGAGCCACGACCGCCAAGTGCCAAGGTCTATGCGCAGGGGATTGTGGATCTGGTGATGAGCAATGCGCCTGTCTCCGAAGAGCTCATCCCGGAGACCCTGGAGCTGGATCGGCAGCGACTTGCGCGATTGCATGCCCGAGCGTTCCGGATCGTTGCCACCGCTTCGATTCTCCTGACAGCCAAGAACCTGCTGAAGCGCGACGTGCGATCTCAATGGAAAGCGGAAGCGGACCGGATCCTGTCCCTGGACTTCAATGAGATCCAGCCTGACCGGGTTCAATCCATCCTGGAATCCACTCACCCGATGCCACCCAACGCCAGTGCGCAGCTGGCCGCAACCATCCGCCGCGTTCTGGTGCCCGTTGCTACTGCCTGCGCCGCCGCCCACACGGAGGGGGAAGGTACCCAGCCATCCGTGGAGATCCAGGTCGAGTCGACCTCGTCCGCGGCGTCGTACACGTCGGATGCCGCCAGCTCTGCGACGGCGACAAGCGGCAGCGGCAACGGGACTTCCGGCTTTGCCGACCCGGTGGCCCGACTGATCCTCTCGCGCCTGCGCGCCCATATCCTGTCGCGGCTGAGCGCGTCCAGCGCCAGCGAACGCGTGCGTGCGACGACGACGGCCAGCCAGAGTCTGGCCGGAGCGGGCATGCCCGAGTTCGTCACGGAGGTGGGGCAGCTGACGGACGAGATGGAGAAGATGCGCGAGGTGGATTGGCTGTGTCATGGGATGGTGTACGAGCGCATTCTGGGCGACGGCAACGCTTGAATGATATAAGATTGTCATTGTCAGGGTCCAGGTTGGTGGGCTTCACTTGGCTTTGGCGTATTAGGTGTATTAGGGATACTACTTCTACTTGTCTAGGTAAAGGACTTTGGAACAGACTGAGATTACTTAATTCCTTCTTTGCGAGTTGGTTCATCGTCATGATCCATATATACTTGAGTCATTCTATCATCCGATCCCATGCGTACGGAGTGCTAGTCAATTGTAACATCTCTAAGGTAGTGAATATTGTTTATAGAAGAAGGAAGAAAGATCGTCATCGAATCCTCTTACGATATTCAATAAAGTAAGAATCCTCAACAATTCTACACGAATTTAGTATAAGTTACAAGAGACTACTGGTCAACCACAACCAAAGAAGTGGGTTGCCGGCGTTTGCAAGGATCGATAACCCGGGGTTGCCCCCATGAGACAAACGGGAGATCCTAACCACTGCATTTGTTGTATCGAGAGAGGTTGGACCGATGCAGGCATAGAACTTCTGCTGTGCATCTTGCAAACCAAAGATTGTGGAGGCGTGCCACTACTACATGGGGTAGCTAAACTGTACCTATCTTCCCGCGGACGACAAAACAAAGAACGATGAATCTGGAATATTAGTGGTATAGGTACTGTATGTACACAGCAGACCACCGCCGCTTCTCTTTGTTACTTCATGAAAGAAAGGTGCGTTCTCTCTCTCGCGCCGGTGTGAATTGCCGACAATGCGTGCGCGAGAGAGAGACTTTGCGGTGACTCGCTACTCGTACATGCTCTGGGACAGTACACCTCGCTGTTTTGCATACAAACAAACGAACGGAACTAGACGAGACGCCGGAGATTTCGATTCCATACACCCCTTCAAAATGGCGAAGACACCACGGCAATCACCGATGATCCCGTCTTGTTCTGGTCTAGTGACTGCTGCCGCCATGAAAACCCTACTTCTCACCATGGGGCCATGCGGTGTACGAGATTGCCACTGTGCCTCGGGCTCGAGCACCTCCAAGCTGAATGGGCTGTCTAGTGCCGTGGCGTGTGACAGATGTTCTCACCCCTTGAGCGATCATGATAGTTACTGTTAGCTCTTGGTGTTCTCTCTGGGCGAGCCTTACTAGGTGTATACTAACGCGAAGAACACGTGCGCACACTCCAGATCCGCCCGGTTCTTCAGGCCCTGCGAGCAGACGACCTGCACTGGTGACTGAGCCGCTTGGTGAGTTTTGGTTACTCTCTGGATGTTGAGGTCGAGGTCGAAGGCGAGGTCACGGGAACATGGATGACCCCTTTGCACAGGCATCGAGTCCCATATTATCATGCGACCCCAGTTCATCGACGAGCTGATCGCCCGGTTGGACCGCTACCATCTGATCCGCGTCAACGGGACGCCGGCGTCGGGCAAGACCTCGATGACGCGGGTGCTGGCCAACGAGGTGCTCGCCCGCTACCCGCAGACCCCCGTGTATCTGCTGTGCGGCTGGGAGTGGGACGACGTGCGGATCGCGGGCGGCTGGGCGCTCTATCTGCAACAACAGCTGGGGACGCATGGCCATCGGCTCATCACACATCCCGGCTTCTTGCTGTTGGACGAGGCGCAGCAGACCTACTGGGACACGCAGCTCTGGACGGACCTCTTGAAGTCCATCACCGGCAGCAGTGCCGTCAAGATCGTGTTGTTCACGTGCTATGGCTCGGCCAGCTCCGAGCCCGGGGGAGGGGGGGGGGGCGGCGACGACGATGCGAGAACTCCCCGGGAAGACGCCGATGGCCCTTGAACCGCATCAGCAGATCTCGCTCCGGCCGGAGGAAACCGAGGCGACAGCCCCGCGCTGGCAGCCGGTGGGCTTGCTGCTCGATGAGACCGAGGCCCACGAGATCCTGGATCGATATGTGCCAATTGTCATATCCAACGGGGCGGACATCTTGACCAAGGAGTTGAAGCATGGCTTGTTCCTGGTTAGTGGGGGACACGCGGGCTTGCTGATGTCCCTCGCCGACGCCCTGGAATCGATACCGGTAAGTCTGGCCTTGCGGGACATGAAATTCTTGGGGGGTAACCTTATTGTTCTATGTGTGACAGGAGATCTATGCTCTGACCTTGAAACGCCAGCCACTCGACTGGACGACAGTAAGCCAGGGACTCTTTGGCGACTGCCGACGATTGTTCGGCATCATTCAGCACCTTTCATTTGCTCGGGGGTTGCCCAAACAACGAGTGGTGCAGCCATCCGCTTACTCGAGTGTCTTCAAGAACGCCGTCATGTACGATGGGACTCTGGAGTCGAGCTATGCCGACAACCCGGATCAACAGCGGGCTCTGCAGGCGATCTGGAAGGAAGGATGACTTCATGCGGAGATCGTGCTGGGAGAGACACGCTATATGTTTCCTACCCAGATTCATTGATGGTTCGAGTCTCCGTGTCTATGATTACTTCGCCATAGGTTGACTAAGAGTATTGGCTCCAGGTATTGTCCGTGCCTTTTGTTCCGCGACAACGCACCGGCCAAAGGACTGGCCTATCGATCCCCACTGGAGATGGCTACCGAAGCCATTCGCCATTTCGACCCGCACCAGCTGTCGAAAACCGCGCGCACGCTGAAAGATCAATACCAGAAGGAATTCTACCGCTGTCTCTTCCCGCTCCTCCTCGAGTACCAGATCGCGATGTCTCCGGAGTATCTCATCAAAAAAACGGCGGGTCTCCAGAGCGGCAGGATCGACTTCCTGGTCGAGCAGAAGAAGTGGGGATTGGAGCTGATGCGCGACGGCGACCGGATCACACAGCACATGCGACGCTTCGGGAAAGACGGCCCGTACTTTGCGATGATCCGGGACGAGCTGATGGACGATTACATTGTTTTGAATTTCACCCAGATCCGACCACGCAGGAAGCACCCAGGTAATACCTGACCTGTTCCGTCATGCCCGAAGGCAGAGAATAGTTTTGAGTCTGACATAGCTCCGCTAGGATACCGCGGCCACCTGTACCATGTGATCTTCTCCGAGGACTGCCGCAACGTCCAGGTCCTGGACGCCTCGGATCTGAGTGAAGTCGTCGCTTTTGTGCTGGTCGAGAACGCAGATTTCTTCCGCTATATAGCCTAGTACTTGGTCTTGGCTCTCTGTTTTGGGTTGACTTGGATAGAGAAATGCCTCTCGAGCAGTGCCCCTCGATGTAATTTCATCTGATGTGGTTGCGTAGTCGCACTCTTGTGACCTTCTCATCTTGGCTTCCTTTGGCGCTTGGCACAGATAGCAATCATTGGCTTTGTTGTCTGATTGAAGACTGCACAGGTAAGTGACACCATGAGCACCCTGAATAGTCGTCCGACTTACCTGATGTCCAGTCCTCAGAGAAGTTGTGTAGTTAGTTACTTTTCCACAATTCTGTCAGTATAAGTAGATGCAGTTGGCCGAACAAAGCAGGCGGTAAGAGAGATGTATACGTACCGCCTCCGCCCGCTGCGCTCCGCCTGCCTCCCCCGCCGCCGCCGCCGCCGCCGCTGCTGTAGCAATCGGCAGATTTCCAGCTTAGCTCACTTCTTTTGAACGAACCTCATTGAAGTTTACACCACCCCTCCACCACGACAATCTCCAATCCGAACATACCCTACCTACTTTGTACCCCAATACAAGGGCCAAAAGCAAATCAAAATGCCCAACCCACCAACCCCGCCCCCGTACACGCTCACCCCGCTCTCGACGCTGGACCCCCCCTCGCAAGAGCGCACCTGGCAAACGGCCCCGCACCCGCGCCTCCCCATCGTCGCGACCTGCAGCGCCGACAAGACCATCCGGATCTACTCGCTCACCAACTTCCGGTTGCTGTCGACGATCACCGGCGGGCACAAGCGCAGCGTGCGCACCGCGGCGTGGAAGCCGCACGTGACGGGGGAGAGCGTGCTAGCCAGCGGCTCGTTCGATGCGACGGCGGGGATCTGGCGGCGGTGGGACAACTACACCTCCTCCCAAATCCACCCGCAATCACAGGGGGATGAGGATGGGGACGCCGCGTGGGGCACATCGACCTCCAACCCCGACCCATCGGAAGATATCCCCGAGGCCAACGACGACGAGGACGACGAAGAATGGCGCTTCGCCGTGCTACTCGACGGCCACGACAGCGAAGTCAAATCGGTGGCGTGGTCGGCCTCCGGGCTGCTGCTGGCGACCTGCTCGCGCGACAAGTCCATCTGGATCTGGGAGGACCTGGACGACGGGGACAACAACTTCGAGACCGTGGCGGTGATGCAGGAGCACGAGGGCGACGTCAAGTGCGTCGCGTGGCACCCCGCCGAGGAGTGTCTGGTCAGTGGCAGCTACGATGATACCATCCGCGTGTGGCGCGAGGATCTGGATGATTGGGGCCAGGTCGCTTGTTTGCGGGGCCATGCGGGCACGGTCTGGGGGGTCGAGTTTGAGGGTCTTGCGGTCGGGGTGTCTTCCCCTTCCGGGGAGGGTGGAGAGGAGGTGAGGGCGTTGTCCGGGCCGAGGATTATCTCGTGCTCGGATGATCGCTCGGTTAGGGTGTGGAGGAGGCAGCCCAAGTTGGGGATGACGACGGAGTTGGGGGCCGGCAATATGCCCAGTATTATCCGGCCGACGGGGTTGGATGAGGTCTGGGAGGAGGAGGCGGTGTTGCCCTTGGTGCATGATTTGGCCGTCTATTCGGTGGCGTGGAGTCGGAGGACTGGCTTGGTTGCTTCGGTTGGCGCGGATGGGAGGGTCGTGGTTTATGAGGAGAGGCGGGTTGATGATGCACAGGTTAAGGAGGATCCCAAGGTGGCGCTGTCGCTGCTCCCCCCGACGGAGTGGGTGGTCGTTGCAGTCCTCAATGGCGCGCATGGCATCTACGAGATCAATCATGTGGCGTGGGCGAAGCGGGCGGATCGGGGTCGCGATCCCTCTAAGGAGGAGGAGGTGCTCATCACGACGGCTGATGATGGCAGTGTCAAGGTGTGGACGGTGCAGCAGTGATGGGTGCATGTGTTATAGGTTATAGGTATAGACTTTCGATATAGAGAAAAGTCTCTGCTGAGAGTAGTCATCCTCCCAGCTATACAGCCCACCACAAAAGCACGGAAGAACAATTCTAAGCTCCAATACATAAACTCCAGTATGTCCACAAAGAATCCATGATGATCAGTTTTGAAACAAACACCAAAAAGGTTCAATCAAGTAACAAGGAATCATAAATGATCACCTCCCCGCGCCGCCGATTGCTGGCCATGTTCGCCCCGCTCCTCCTCGTCACTGTCCTCGCCCACCGAATAATGCTCCCGGTCCAGACCTGGCGAGTGCAGGTCATCCAACTCCGATTCGTCAAAGTCGCCCGCCTCGACATCGCCGCCCGTGCGCTTGTTCTGGAACCGCTCCAGCACCGAGCTGCTGCTGCTCATGTTCTTCTGCATCACGCCCCGGTAGCCGTGGTGTCGCTGGCGGCTGCGCCAGATGAAGAAACCCCACACGATCACCCCAATGATCACCACCACGAGGACGGCCTCGCCGGACTTGGCATACGCCTTCCACTCCGTCTCCTTGAGGCGCTGCTTCTCCTGCTCCTCGGCCGCGGTGCTGTTGGGGTGGCCGCCCACCGAGGTCTGCGGCAGCTTCTCGCCGTCAATGCGCGAATCCGTCGGGTTGCCCCCGATGCTGGCGATGTCCACGTTCATGAACCGGTCCAGCATGTCCCGCGTCTGCCGGGGCAGGTCGTACGGCACCATGTGGCTGGAGTTGTAGATCAGCACGTAGGTCAGGTTGCGCGCGTATTGATAGATGCCCGTCGGCTCGCCCTCGAAGGTCCAGTCGTGTCGGGGCGCCCACACACCCGGCGAGGTCTCGAACCCCGTACCGCCGCCCCATTTCAGGTTGTTGATCAGTTGCTCGGTGCCGACGTGGTTGCAGATTAAGTCCTTCTCGCCGCTGAACAGGAGAATCTCCACGCCGGATTCCAGGAGCTCGGGCAGGAGTCGGACGGATGGCACGGATCTCTGAGGGTTGAAGTTGCTGCTGACCGCGCCGGAACACTCGGTCCAGCCTGACTTCTTCGCCGGGTCGATGTGCAGAGCTGCCACCACGTCCTCCCGCTGTAGATAGGGCTTCACATCCACCAAGTCCGTCGGCCAATTCATTCCGCAGGCGTCCAAGCTGTCGCGCAAACGGATGTCATACATGTTGTAGCACTGGTTGTTGACAATCGTCTTATCCAAAATGCCATTCAGAATCTTCTCGCAGTCGTTGACGTGGATTCTGTTCTTGCCCGCTTCCAATCGTGACTGGCAGACGGACTGCAGCACTTCGAGTTCCTTGGCCGCCGAGCTGCCTTCCTCGATAAGCCCCTCTTCGTAGGCGAACGGCAAGTAGGACATGTACTGTTCCTCGGGGGCGATCCACCCGTTGCCGATAAGAAGACCCTTTAGCTGCCACTGCGCGGTGTTGGAGTTGGAGACGTTCTTGTTCCGTTCTTGCATGGCCTTCGCGATATAGGGGATATGTTGTCCGGCGTAGGACTCGCCCGCAAGGTAGATCTATCGACCGTAAGAAACGCAACACCTCAATAAGTTGAGACCGGGGAACATACATCATCGCTCTCGTACTCCGGAAAGAGCTTGAACCACTCCTCCAAGAACACCACAAACTGCGCCGCCATCGTGTCGAGCTCGTGAATATAGCTGTCAGTGTTGACGTAGCTGAAGCCCGTTCCGACCGGGTTATCGACAAAAAGCAGATTGGCGAACTCGTCCCAGGAGCCCTCATTATATTCGAGGGTGTGGTTGTCCTTCAGTCGATATGGGCCAATTTCCATCAGCGCTCCGTCCATCGAGGAACACCCAGGCCCGCCATTCAGCCACACCACGGTGCGTTGACGATTGGCGATGTGCCGATTCTGATAGTGCCAGAAGAAGAGATGTCCATTGCTCTGGGCGTCGACCTCAACGTGCCTAAGCCGGAGAGAGATAGGGGTTAGTTCTGGTTGATGGAATGCGACAAACGTTGGAGCGGAGTAGCTCACCCAGCGTGCATTTTCAGCAGCGGACCGTCCGGTGCACCCGGAAGAGAATGGATATAGTAGTCAGCCGCCGACTTGGCCGAGACAATGGCGGGACTCAGTAGAAGGAGCGTCGACAGTGCCCATGTCGACATCTTGGTGAGGGAGGTGCCCCCGCGGGACGATAAGGGGAACATTTCGGGGACTGTGATAAGGTGCAGGGTGGAAGGGGGTGTTCCAACAAGGAAAGTATTGACGGGTCGTCGCAAGGATGGATTGAATAGGTCCCGAGTGGACTCGTGTCAGCGCTCAAGGACTCATTGATCAAAGTGTCCAGTTCCGGCGCGTGCTGACTGAGACCGAATCTCTACCCGGTCGAGGCGGAGCTCCGGAGATAAAGGGAGGAGGTGGTGACTGGCGATGGTGACGGATGTGATCACACAGAGAAAGGGTGTAGACGAATGAACGGGAAGCTGTCAAACACCCTTCCCGGAGCGATTTGGAAAAAGGCAGGAGAGCCGGATAACACCAAGGGAAGAGGTGGAAGGTAATAGACGAGACGAGGAGGAAGATGGAGGAGAGATGGAGGAAGTCCAAGGCGGCTGAGACGGAGACGGAGACGAATGGATGGCGTGGCCCGAACGGGCGGGTATCGTCCGTATCGTTACTTACGGGACTTACTCTTACCACTTTGGGGTCTCTATAGACCAGCTGCTGCCTTACACTCTTCCACATAGCATGATCTTGTGTGAGAAATTTCAGAGTAGTTGTTATCATTCGAGCCCTCAATAAAGAGTATTGTATTGTCCATCGTAGAAGTTGACTACCGTTGACAATCTGAGTTACATTCGCCCGATTCATCCATCGCGATGACATTTGGTACAGTGCACTCCAGGATTAATGCAGATCTATTCCAGCATCGCTCGAGCGTTTTCATTCCAAGCTGAATGGATTTGTTTGTCCCTGCGCCTTCATTGAGAGCTACAATCTTCGGTCGATCTTCTACTCGACTCAGATGAGATCATCAATACCCTGGTCGGCGTCTTTCTTGATCAAGTCCACCATGCCCTGAGAATGTTAGTTGCGGCGCAGTCAAGGCATGATGAGAAAGAAGCAAGCTCACCGGAGGCATGATGGGCTGTCCATCCTTGTCCACAACATAGCGGAAGGGCATCTCGGTCCGTTCGTGCTCGTTGATAAGGATCTCGGGGTGGTCAACGTATTTGATCTCCTCCAAAGGAACTGCGTAGATGTCAGTCTTCATTTTAGCCATGCAAACTCGCAGTCGAGGACTGACTCTTATCGTGCACAACTAGGCGAGTAACGCGCACAGCTGTATCCGTGGTCATTTGCACAGGTCCTAGTCTACGGCCAGCATAGCCCTTCTTTCTCAACTCCGAGGTGCGATCTGCTTCGGGTCAGTATCATGATGAATCTGCTCTACATCCAAGAAACATACCGCGAGGTGGATCATCGCCTAATGACCGAACAAGAGAATCCTTTGAGTCAGCCAGCAGAACAATGGATTGAGCCAATCTCCGGGGAAGACCCGAAAGACCGCAAAAAAGGCGCCTCACCCAGGATACCACCGAAGAGGAAGACATCGAACGTCTCTGCATCAGCGGGGCTCAACTCAACCTTGGCGGAAGGGTCCAACAGGCAGACCCGAGACTTGCGGTCCGCAAAAATCTCCTCCACACTGCGGTGCTCGACGTTGAGGCCTGGGGTGGCCGCCAGATCCTCCGACATCTGCAGGGAGGTGGGCACGGAGCTGAGCAGAAATCTGCTCCCCGAGGCATGCGCTTCACGGGCAATGCAGCCATACTCTAGAGCGGACCAAGCGCCCAATTCGGGGTCCAGATGCTCGACCACGATGGTCACAGGACCCGAGGAGGAGGTTTGATCACTCATGTTGGTCCAAATGAAAGCGTCCAAGTCGGTCTGGCCCGCGGACAATGAGCGTGATGTCGGTTATAGTGTGGGGTTTCAGGAACCTCTTGTGACACCGTGCAGGCTCGGATTCACCGGTTCTTAAGACCCAAAATTAGCCTAGAACTGAGAGATGGAAAGCTTGCAGCTATTACTAATTGATACCACGGTGGTAAACGGTGCGAAAAGGCTGGATGGTGAGCAATATCAGATTGTGGAGGGGCAGAAGGAAAAAAAGCAGAATTCATCATAGAGTCGGATACAGATCGATACGGCCGATTGCATACACTGACTGACTGACTGAATGACTGAGGTTTCCTCTTCAATTCAACCGTCGGTCGAAGTTGAGCAACCCGGTGACCTTGCAATGAACATTTCATCAAATGAACATTGGAGGACTATTCACTCTACTAGTTCGTTAGGTTCAATTTTACTATTCTCTTTTTGCGCCCTTTGTGCCTAACGGGGCAGCAAGTTGAGTCTAGTATACTGTCCCTGCATTTGAAAGCACCGTCTAGGCTAGCATATCCTTAGTGTCAAGTCATTAAGGGCACGCTCATCACTTGCTTAGAATCTTAGGATTTGAGACACATTGTATCTTAATTTAAGCATTCCATACCTATTTCACCCCCTGGTCCTCAGCATGCAGCAAATTATCGAACGACAAGTGCCTGATCTTCCCCGATAATGAGGCGTTGGTCAGATCGAGTGAAACAAATACTGTATTGTTCGGTCACCATTCGAGGTGGAGACCGTCTGCAGCTCCATGGCGCTAGGCTGAATGCAGACTCCTTCCTGCTCAGATCGTTGGATCCTCGTCTCTGAGAGGATTAGTGGGTAGGAAGTGGTGGAACACGGGGGCTGATTACAGGGCGGTCACCGCCCGATGTCGTACGCTCTCCGCCAGCCGATGACCATACCATTACCCGTCCATACCGACTGATACCAATAGACTTATTCCATAGTCCATCATGGATACTTTCTCTCTCTCTCCCTCTACATTTCCTTCTTCTCCTTCCCCTCACCTTCAAACGCTTATCCCTCAAACACTCTCCTGTTCCTATTTACTCTCATTCCTTTTGTAACAAGATTCTCTTCATCTGTTTCCTTTTCCGGTCTAACTTTCTTACATCTCATCTCCTGCAGCCTGTGCAGAGGAAGCTGTGATCTATACCTTTACCTGCCTGCCTACCTACATACTACTTACAGTTTGCTCCCCGCTGGAGGTGGTGGGGTTTCCTGACGACACTCCCTCCCAATACTAAATACCCGCACCACTCAATCACTCCATCACTCACTCCCTCCATCTCCGTTGTCCACCTCAACTCACCTCAACTTACCTCAACTCAATCCGTATTAACTCCCCCCCCCCCCTCCTTCGTCTGCACCTTCTTCCTTTGCTTCTTCTCCTTTCTCTCAACCTACTTTTCTTCTTCCATTTCCTGTTTCATCCGTTCTACAACCAACCAAAACAAAACCACAATCATTCATAATGAATCCCCATCAGCAGAATAAGATCGATACCAGCGTACGCTCTCCGCCCAGATCTATCTTGGGTTATCGCAATCTTTCCCCGTCAGGCTGCAACTAACAATCATCTCTTCTCAAGTCGCTGAGCCCCGATGAGCAACGCCTGCTTCGTCTCTACGGCAAGATGCCTAACAAGAAGGATCTCCTGCAGAACAAGCTGAAGGTATGCTCGTCCCAACACACCCGACTCAACCACTCCCCATGGCTAACTCTCATGCCCTACAGGAGCGGAAATACTTCGACTCAGGCGATTACGCCCTCAGCAAAGCCGGCAAAGCCTCAGATGTCGGCGTCACCAACATCGGCTCCCAACACCCCGTGCCCGAGAACATCCCTCACCTGACTGCCACCTCCCCCGGCGCCAACAACCCCGCCGCTGCCGGCAATGGGGGCAGCATCAGCGCCCAGGGCGGCCAGCAGGTCCCCGGTAGTATCAGCGGCCATCCCGGCTCCATCGGATTCCAGAGCCGCAGCCCCGTCAAAGAGGCCAGCTTCCTGCAACGAGGAACCAGCGTCGATGAGGCCGATGGAAACAACCTCGATGCAGTCGCATCCCAGGATCCCACCGATGCCGGCAGCGTGAGCCCACCTCCGGCTCGAGGGGGTGTTCCCATCCGTCAATAAATGATTCCCCCCCCCCCGGTCCCTTATCATGATCTCATTACTTTCATGTCATCCTTTATTTGGTTACATCTCTTCCTTCGTATATCTTTTGTTAATTCCGTCCCGGTGGTCGGTGGTATTTAAAAGAGTGTTCTGGCGCCATGGATTCCCACGTCACGTTGTTTCTTGACATTCCGATGTATTTACGACCTTATCATTGATCATTATTTTTTTTTCCCTTTCTCTTATCTTTTGCCTTTCGGATGGATTCTGCCTGACACAAAGTGAAAAGAAAGTGGAAGGTTGAGCCACCAGGCTGAAGTGACTGCATGCTATAGCACTCGCCCACTAATCTGTGGCAAAGACGAGCTGACCAGTTTCGGGTGGGATCCTCTCCGTCTGTCGATCATAGCCTGCTTCAGCAGCTCTGTGCGTCCACAGTATGAGTATCCAGCATGCTCGCGCTAAGTGGAGTGTCTCAACCATCACGAAATGACGCAATCAGTCTTCCTGTTCTCTCCTTCAGTTCGTTGTCTATATTGGAAGATTATTCCGGGTACGAAGAGTCTGCCTCGTGTCTCCGTTCTACCTCATAAGCACGAAATGTTCTATGCCTTTAGCTTGCGCTCAAGAACCAGGAACACGTCGTATCTGATGCGTGTATGTTTGCCGTGCTTTAATGCATCTACTCTCCTCCCTGAAGGTGTGTTTAGATCCGGCGTGGTAACGACTACATTGAACTTACCTTTGTGGACATTACGAGTTTGGGCCATTGACTACCTACCTCTTTACTCACCTTCGGTCTGTTTGTCGTTCTAGCCGCTTTCCAATTTCTGGCGTCTCGCCATCCTAAATTGTACTCATTGGCTGTGTACTACCCGTACTCTTCACTAGGTAACCACTCCCAAATCCCGGAAGTGCGGTTTTGGGAGGTACTTCGTATATGCTACTTGTACTGCAGAAAGGAAAGAGAGGAAAGAGTCACCCTTCTCATAGATTTCAAGTCTGATTTGCGACGGAGCTTGAAAAACCGCTAAATATGGTACTCGAGCTCAGCAGGAGCAGGAAAGGAACAAGATAAGGGAATGAACAAGATGTCGCTATAGAGGCGAAGAGAAAAAAAAGGTCAAAGAAGAAGGAAAAAAAAAAAAAAAAAAAAAAAAAAAAAAAAAAAAGAAAAAAAAAAAAGAAAAAGAGGGGGAGGGACCGAAGAAGAAAGAAAAAAAAAAAAAAAAAAAAAAAAAAAAAAAAAAAAAAAAAAAAAAAAAAAAAAAACCTGTCACCGTGAAGAGCAAGTTGGGGGTATAAGATTCTCCATCTAGTGCAAACAGTTTTCAAGAATCAAAAGCTAAGAATGACAAGGAAGGGTAAGTCGGAGAGCATTGATGAGCAAACACAAAAAAAGAATTGAAAAAAAAATCACAGGAAGTAGTGTAGCAGAAAGGCGCTAGACTGGGAAGAATGGGTATAATAGCAATAATCGGAGATGGGATCATAAGAGATGTGGATAGGCCAAAGATAAGGATAGAGTGAGGCGTATCGGAGGGAAGAAACAGAGGAGGCGGTCCGGAGTGGGTACGGCCCAGGGAATCTGTTGAGTGGGGTGGTTGGCATCGTCCGAACCGCGCGGTGTACTTGAACTGGACCGCCCCCTGGTATGGAGACCTGGTGATGGATCCTAAATCATGCTGGAACTGTGTTGTTGATTACGAAGTCCACGGGGACAGTGTCCGTCCCTCCATGACGAGCACCATTCGTGGGGTGGCCAAGGAATAATGTAATGCCTTGCAGGGTGAGAGGAAACGCAAGGTGCAAGGACGACTGATAGGCATGTGAAGTCGCGGGCACGCTTCGTAGCTGCTTCTGCGAGATGATCCTTGGTATTCCTCCAACCCGGCTAACAAGCGGCTAACAAGCGAGGAGCGTTCGATGGCGTTGCTGGCCTAGGGCAGCCAGCATGCTGAAGAAACCCTAGCTGGAGGATATGCATAAATGAACATCGGTGGTAGCCTAGCTTAGGGACGAATCAAGGACGCTGCGAGTGTCTACCACGAGTCTCCGCATGGTTGATAAATTTGACATGAAATTGCGATTCGCCGTGTACCGCTCAGTCGGTCTTCCAGTGACCAGCCAAGCCGGTATCTAGATCATCGTTCTCGCCGAGGTAGAGCTCAACAGCGTACAAGCCCATCGTGCAGGCAAGGTTGATCCAGCGCCAGAGGTTGCCGCCGCCACCGCCTTGGCTGCTCCACCATTCACCATTGCCACCCATTGCTTGAGATGTCAGAGCGAAGTGCTGCATCAGAAGGCTGGTGTACACGGCGATGAGAATCGAGGGGGAGAAGTAGCTGAGGAAACCGAGGAATTGGCCGGCGGCATCGGAGTCGTCCAACGAGGCTTCTTGCGACAAGGCGCGAGCGCCAGATTCGCGAACTGCGGGAATGATTCGAGTGGACGCGTACAGCACCAGGATCCGGTAGGTAAGCGAGACTAACACGGAGGGAGTCACGGCGCCAAAGACTGCGGTGATAACATTGAACAAGGCGTGGATGATTGAAGGCAGGGTGGACAATGCATGCATCAGAGTGGTGTACGACTCCATGATGATCGGTGGTAGCGGCGGGAAATCCCCGGCTTGAGCAGGAGAGGGCGCTTGTTCCAGAGGGTGAGAGGGTTTGTAGTCTGTGAAGATCTGGTAGAGGCAGAGCACAATGTAGGCAAATAGCAAGGAACTCTCCACTGGATTTCCCCGGCCGCTACCAATACCCCAGGCGCACAAGATCACCGCGCATGTTATGGAGACACCAATTAGAGCCGCATCCACATTGGAAATTTCCGGGAACTGCATAACACGCCAGAGGAAATACACGGAGCTGGATATGATTGAGGCGGATAAAACCAAGAGACCAATCTGGCGGATTATGATTAGCATTTTATCGTTGCATGCATCAAGCACTTCAGAGTGACGTGTACGTACCATCCAACTATCACTGCGCCCGCCGCGGTTCACAAGCCACCGAGTGATTTGCCCTGCAGCTTGTATGACGAGTAAACTGCAGAAACCTTCCACCAGCTGGAATACCGGTGTCGACCATCTCAAGAGTTTATCCCAGTTGCCAATCGTCACCGATTCCGCCAAACCATCCGGACCAAACACCCACTCCTGAATGGAGGAGTCGTGGGCCCTCTTGCCGGTGAAGGTCCGTTCCACCCATGAAGCCGCGTTGTCATTATCGATAGAGAAGCGGTTGAGCGACCAGATAAGCAGGATCGGGATTATAAGCCACTGCGTAGAGCTGATGATGACAACCAGGGAGGAGCGGATCCAGGACCGATCGGGGGTGGAAAGTCGCAGGAGTGAGAACAGAAAGTAAAAGGTCGCGAGGGAAAGCGAATAGGCCAGACCGCATGTCTTTCCACCCACATCGAACGCGAGAGGGATGGATGCGACCGTGACGGTCAGGAAGAGTCCCGACGAGATGGCGCGGAAGAGCCACATCGGACAAGACGACAAGAAGGGGAAACGAGAAGAAGAAAAGGCAGAAAGAGGGTAAAGAGGAGGGGAGAGAGGGGTGTAGACGCGCTCTTTTCGACAGATGGTCTCAAGGTAGGAGATTTGGTAGACAACACGGACGGGGAGGAGGGAGGGGAGTCTTTAGTAAGAATACATGAAGGCTGGTTGATTGCGTGCCGTCCTTTGTCTTGCTGGTCTGTCCGTCCGACTTTTCTTGAATCTTGCTGGGGGAACGAGTGGGATGAATCTCGTCACTGTCTTTTGGATTGAATTTTCAATTTTTTTTTCTCGTTTCGTTTTCAGTGCAGTAGTCTTTTGAAAAACGATCTTATCTCCCAAGCGGGACGGAATGATGGATGGATCGAATTCACGTGGCACGTGCTGATGGACGAATGAAACTCCTGGTCAAACAATCCACTTACGTACTGAAGCACCAAAGCTTAACGGCTGCAATGCAATGAATCGGGCAGGATGAGATAAAGACGAGGAGAAGGATACAGGATGAGGAAAAGGGAAAAAGGGGGGGGAGTGACAGGCAGCCCAGCAACAGCAACCGCAACGAGCAAACGTAAGAATTGCTCGCAATTTGGCGGTTTAGCGTATCCGACCCAGCTTCAACTGGCAGGCGGTGGCGTCCAGGCGGATGCAAGTAGCGGTCAGTTGGTGGAAAGATCGGCTGTATATGATCTCATCTCCAGAAGATTATCACCACAGTACCCATGTAGAAGGTGATCGAGCGTTCGCTAGGGGATCCTGTGATTGCGCCGAAATGCAACTGGACGTCAACAGTCCCGACATTAAGGTTCATGGAGCCTGGAGAGGGGGGAAGGATGTGGAATCGACGTAATTATGCCTGTCAGATAAAGACAACGTCGACAAACCATATTACAGAATATGCAAGCCTCAGGCTGCAATCACATGCTAGGCTCTTAGGTGCTTAGCCCTAAGTACTTGTCCAATCTGGTTAGCGTGATGGAGCTACCACTTCGACGCTTTCCCCTTTAGAGAAATCAGCGCCCTGCTCCTTCCGGCCAATGGGAATTCGCTGATATTAACTAGCTCGATCTGAACACCTCAGGCAGGCTTCCAGAAGCTCAGGCTCTATCGACAATCATAGACAGGAACTTCTTCATTCTTACCACGTTATTTCTTCCTTCTGGTGTATGCTTCGATTCCGTTCCTTATTCAAAATGGCCGAAGAAACCATCACGAAGAAGATCAAGACTTCTTCCCCCTTGATCGGAACCCACAAGTAAGTACTCGGTTCTCACCTCAATCCCACATCCCACCTTCTGCAATGGCCCGGTTAAGTTAATTCCTGCTTCTCTCCAGCGGCCACTTCCACGCCGACGAAGCTCTTGCTGTCTACCTTCTCCGTCTCCTTCCTACCTACAGCGCCTCCCCCCTCGTACGAACTCGCGATCCCGCCCAACTGGCCACATGCCACACCGTCGTCGATGTGGGCGGCGAGTACGACCCCTCCAGCAACCGCTATGATCACCACCAGCGCACCTTCGCGACCACCTTTCCGGCGCACGAGACCAAGCTCTCGTCCGCCGGTCTGGTCTACATGCACTTCGGTCGGGCCATCATCGCGCAACACACGTCTCTGCCCGAGGACCACGAGGACGTGACACTGCTGTACGAAAAGCTGTACAACGACTTCATCGAGGCGATCGACGCGAACGACAACGGGGTCTCGGTCTACGACCCGGCGGGCATCTCGGCCGCGGGCCTGCAGAA